AGGAAGCGCCTGCAAGGCGTCGCGCGCTCTCGCGTCTCGCGCGCGGCCGAGGTTGCCAGTGGCATCCCGCCGGTGAAGGTTGTTAATTCGCTCGTCATCTCATGTGCAGGAGTTGTTCAGCCGTCCGAGCTGGGATCAGCCATTGCCGAGCGCTGTTCTCTCCGCGAGCAGGCCTGCCGCATTGAGGTGTGGAAGCCTAAAACACACCATGCATCGCACTTGCCGCATGAATTATTGGCGCACCACGTCGCGATACCGCCATTCCTCCCATAGAGGAAACGCAGGCTGGCGCAGAATTTCGCAGGGCCCAAACTTTTTTTGCAAGCCCTCGACCGATCGATATTGGAAGAGATCACTGCGAAAAAATTGCGCGACTTCGAGCATGGGTCGCCTGAGCGCCCAATCCTGTTCAAGCGGGGGGGGCCCAACAAGTCAGATTCCATGGAGTAACGGAATTACCGGTGATCATGTAGATGTGGTCCAGGTTTCCAGGGCAGCCGACGTCAATGATAGGGCTGAGTCACGCCATGATTGCATTTTTTGTTGGTATCACGATGGTTTCCCCCGGTTTGCGCGAGCCCACTACCATTTTATTTTGCATGGTCATGCGCAATCGTGCATTCCATCGTGGGAAACAGTTGACTGCGGCGATACGGTGTACAAGTGCAGGGCGCGTGGCCACGACATATTGGCGCACGTGTCGTCACTCGTTGATTTTTGCATATTTGCGTCAGCGGCAAAGCGTGCGATTTTAATTGTTTTAACGCCCCCTAAGCTGAGTTTGAGAGCTGGCAACATAGTTTGGTCGATTTTGTTTTGGATGTTGACCCATGGGCTTGGAAAAGGGCGTCGGTGGTCAAACCTTTTTGGGTGCCAGCATTTCTTGCCACGCAACGCGCCGACGTTATTGCCCCGTGTGTTTCATACGCTGGCCTGTGGAGGCGCCGGAAAAAAATGATGCGAACACGCTTGCGGCGAATTCCCCCGCCCCATGCCTTTTGGAATATGCTTGCCTCTTGGGGCGCCTTTTGGGATCAATTGGGGGGTCTCCTACAGTGAGCGGCTTGCATAAGGAACGCTTGCTTTTCAAAACGGGTTCGGTCGTTCCTTAGGTTGTCATGCGTTCCGCTATTTTTTGGGCAGCGAGCCCCCCTTGGTCTTCCTTCAGATTTTGGCCGCGCGGGTTCCTGGCGTTCCTGGCTCGGCGCGAGTCGGGGTTCACGCGCGGAGCCGAGTCGGCAATGTGTCACCTTCAGGTCCAGTCCCCCACGCGAGCCCCAGGCGTTCCTTGCGCGGTGCGAGTGGGGGCTCACGCGCGGAACCGAATCGAAAAGTGGTCACGTGAAGTCCCAGTTCCTAGCCCGAGCCCCTGACGTTCCTGACGCGTCGTTCGCAGGCTGCGTTTCTGCATGCGATGTTGGAGCGGCGGGGGAGAGGAGGGGGCAGGCGTTCCTTTGTAGTTTGGCAGAAGGGGCGGGGGACGAATCGCAAAAGCAAGTCGTGGCGGAACGCCGCTAGAAAGGGGCTCGGCCGTTCTTTCGGATTTCGTAGATTCACTTGGGGAAAAAGGGGGTTCCTTCCATATTTATCGTTCCCTAGGTCAGGCCAATGACTGCATGGGGCCCCCATGGGGAGCCTTGGGTACTTCTTAAGAGCCTCCTTGGGGCCTCTTGTGGCGTCTTCGGGGCCTTTCTGTCGTCCCTCTTGGGGCCTCGTGGGGGCCCCTTCCCCCTGCCCCTAACCAACTTAGCTACTTTAGTTAACCTGGATCTTCAACTCAGCTAGCCTACTCACCTGACTCCGTGAACTAGCTACAGGGTGTAGCCTAACCTGTTCAATTTGGATCGCTAACCAGAGTGCATGTGCTTCTTCCACCTTGGTCAACTAACCTCCTCTTCTAAGTCCAGGATCCACTGTACAACCGCGCGAAGCACATACCAACCCACTTGACCCTCCCAGTGGCCCCCCCCCCCTCTGTGCCGCGCACGTGCCTCGGGCCATGAGTTGCGATCCCCCTCCTGGGACGCCCCCCGCGTGGACGCCCCTGAGAGAAGGTACCGATACCGATGCCTCTCCTTCGTTTTCGCCTTTCTGAGAGTGCACCCCAGGGGAGGTCCGGGGAGTGCCAGTATCGGTACCTGTTGGTTGTCCCAAGGCAGTCGGGCGTTGCGTAATGGAGGGGCGGTCAATGGGGTGATGACGAAAGGAACACCTGTAGCGTGCCCTGAAGGTGGCCTGAAGGGGCCTCTGGGGCCCACATGGTGCACGAAAGGTGTGCTCTTCACCCCTACATGTATCGACCCGCCATTAATCAGCGCCTAAGTGAGGGCCACCCCGATCATTAGAATTCTGCAATCTGCTGGTCGCGGCCGACGAGATCTGTCGCCACCGATGTTGCTTCAGATTCCGGGATCAGTCACGACCGATTTGCTGGAACTCGGTCGCGACCGATTTGGAGTGCCGATCGGTCGCTGTCGATTGCGACCGAAAGAATCCGGTATCCAATGATCTGGGGAAGACCAGGGCGGACGAAAGGCGCGGGCATCTAGCGCCTCGAGAAGCATGTTCGAATTTCGAGGTTCGATGTCTTTCTCTTTGACGTTCTCGTCGGTTCCCAGCAGTTTTCCAGCCTCGCGGCATGCTTTCAGCTGCGCCTCGCCGAGGGCGCTCCAGGAGTGGGCCCGAATTGTACCTAGGGTCGGGAACTTTTGGTTGCGTGTCGCTCCGCCAGTTCCGGCCCACCACGCTTCGGAGAGCGACATGCTAGCCACGTCCCGGTCCCCGAGCGTCAATTTTCCGGAATTTTGCCAAGACTCCCGGCGGAACGGAGCGGAGCGGAGCGACACGCCATCCGCTTGCAAGGCATAGCGTGTCGCCCAGCCCGCCGCGGCGACGCGCTGTGCAAGTTCCCGGCCGTATGACGGCCGCCGGTGCCACGAGTTGTTGCCCGAATTGCGCGGCCCCCGCGTGGAAGTCGAGTCTGTTGGCGTGCCGCTTTCTATTGGCCCCATGTCAAGCAGTAGCGGAGCGACCTGACCTGTCGATAGGCCCACCCGAATGTTCAAAGAACTGATTGTAGTTCGCACGGACGATGCCCGAAACCTTTCTGGTTGAGACCATCATGTTTTAACATGTCGGGCTTCTGTTATGAGAACAGTGCTTCTGCGATTGAAAGCATAGTTTTTTCCAGCATGTCGTGATAGGCCTACAGGAATGCTGGGGCTGTCGGTCCTTGTTCAAATTGAGGCCAATCTCGGGTTGCGAGTGCGCCAAACATAACGACTCGGGAGAAACAACAGACACGATTCAGAGTTGGACCAGATACCGATACCTCTGCTCGTCTCTGGGAGCCCTCGTTGCCACGGTTGGATTCGCTTCCAACTTATCGTCAGATCGCAGCACGGGACAGGTCCGGGGAGCAGTGGTATCGGCATTCTCGTGACAAATCACAACCAGAGCCCCGGATTCCGTCTCGACGCTGCATTTGGTCGAGCCAGATCGATCGTTGTTGGTCCAAGGGCCCGGCACAGGGCGAAAACACCTGGTGTGGAACAAGTCCCACGCCCGGATCTCAGGGCTCCCCCCTCCAACAGTTGGCGCCTCGAAAAAGACGAGGCGGCCAGTCTGTGGCCTATGCCTTGGCCTCTGGGGAGGCCGCGTGAATTCGGGCCTCGCGAGCGTCGGGGAGCGGCTCGGGACGAAAAGCCGGCCCCTGGAGAAGGAGGTCGGGGGGGCCCAGGGTTTCACGCGTCGCGGCGAATGTCGGAGCCCGCCCTCCTTGCCAGCAGACGCCGCCAGACGGTATTCGCAGGGTGCAGATCCTGGGCGGTTGACTTCAGCACCGTCGCTTGTATATCCGTAGCCGAAAATCGGCGGAGTCCGGCATAATCCCGCTTCATTTGATTGAATATGGCTTTCTTTGGTTTAATCCGGCCTATTATTAGGCTAATCTTGTTTAGTGATTTTTCAATCGGTGTACACCAATAATGTGCATTAAGCGAACGCAGCTTCCACATCATATTCGGAGTTATCCTAGCATATGTGAACATCGGGATTCCAGGGTAGATCGTAAAGGACAGCACCGACGACAAACTTCTTCTTTGGTCATATGCTTCTGACACAAGTTTACTTTCTTTGATATTCGCAGCTGTCTCTTTTTGTTGTAGATGTTCCAAGTCTGGACAACAAGTTAAAGAAAGCGAGTCGTGCAGATATTATCTTCTCAGGCTGATGTTTTCTGAATGCATTCCGGCGTGGTAGCTCATAACCGTTCATGCGAATGTTCCCAGGACTTGCCTCCCAAGGATTCACCTTTCAGGGCAGGGGCCACGGCCCTGGGACCTGTCGACCCTTCCCCCCGGGCAAGCCTTCTTCCAGACCCTAGCCGCGCTCTGGTGGTCTATGGGCGGCCCTTGCGACGCCGAAAGTGGTGGCGAAGAGCCCGCAGTGTACAGTCGCCCCGCTGATGCGGATCTCCGACGATCTGTGCGCTTCCATCCGAGCCTTTTCTTCTCGATTCTGGCCTCTGTTACCGAGCCCCGGGGCGACCAGGAATTGATGTGGAACGAAACGTTACCTCCGGGGAAAGGGTCACGACCTCTGGGGCCGCGATCGTTGTAAGATCCAAGGGTGTTTGGGGTCGAGGTCCAGATACCTGAGTCATCGAGCCGACCCTGACCTTCCACAGAGTGCAAGCACAGCCCTCGAGACCCTATAGAGCTTCCTAGCTGGGCTTGGTAAAGCCTGGAGTAGCATGTTAGATACAAAGGTCCTGGTACTGTTTTGTGTGGCCCTCCTGGAAGGTATGGGTACTGTCAAGAAGCTGACAGAAGGACCGCTTTGGGCTCAGGAGGGGCTATGATCTTCAGGCCGCTCCTTTGATTCAGGTCGGGAACTCCGCCGTGGCGAGAAGAGCTCCTTCGTCCCTTTTTCAGCGCTGGTTGTGGTGGAGGCTGCAGAGCCTCGAGCCTCGAGCCCCGCCCTGGCAGCGCCGCGCCGAGGTGGGGGACGCGCTCCTGGAGCCGTTCTGGCCCGAGGGCCTCGGCATCCTGCGGGGCTTCATGTCCGCCCTGGACGCAGCATCAGCGCTGGCGCTGGGCGCACAGGACGGCCCCTTCACCTCCTCCTCCTCCTTCCTCTTCCTCCGCCTCCTTTTTCGTTCGACTAACATTAGGTGCGAAGCTTGCTGCGTCTGTGTGGTGGAAAAATGGGGCAGGCCTGTGCCTTGCAACAGTGCGGACAGAAGAAGGCGCCTGGCGGCTGTAGGCGTGAAACAGTGTAGGACCCAGAGTATTCTGCAGGCACAGGTGAAGCAAGGAACCGCCCCCACCAACATCGTCAATCCCCCCGCCGCCACGTCCCATACTGAGGTCCCTCGTCGAGGGAAGTGCAGGGGCCTATGTAACGATGCCCCTTGGCTCACGCCGTGGGCAGTACCTCACTCCGCCTGCGTGGCGGGCCCTCTGTGAGGGATTAAAGCCCCTCCTCTTCCACCACCCCCCACTACATAACATGCTCCTGAACCTCCTCCAGTATGCCCTTTCCGAGGGTCGAAGGCAGCGGCGCTACACGCCCTCACCGAGGGCAGCTGTGCCCGAGGAAGCATGTATTGCAGCCATTGTCGCGTCTGGCTGCTGATCTTGAGTCAGACACTAGTGCATAACAGGCATGTGAACGAGGGAAAACATGATGCCACATGCAATGCATAAGCACAAGCGCCAGTAAATACATTGGAATGCTGGCGCAGTTTTCAAAGGCTGGCCTGGTTGGCGCCAGTGTGTGGCGCAACTGTCGCACTGGATCGATGCTTAGCTGGTACCATACTGCTCGTGAGCTGGCAAGCTGGCGAGGCAGAAGCAAGGATGAGGCGCTACCACTACACCTAAGCATCAACTCCCCGACCTTCCTCGGTTCATCTGGCATGGAGCTTCAGGCTGCTCCCTGGGGTTTTCGGCTCACCCCACAACTCCCTGGTGCTTTTCGTTGACTTTTTTGTTTAGCACCAAATCCAGTGGACAAACCGGCAGGGCGCGCTAAATTCGCGACCCAACCGAGCGACATTCCAAACCACCTATCTTAACCGAATGCGCTCCACTACTCGCAAAATGCCTACTCGCAAATGCCCGAAGAACACATGTCTGATTCGATGCAATTTCTTGCATTTCCCCCCCCCCCCCCCAGCGGGTCCAGGCCATTTGCGAGTATAGTCACTTTGCAAGTCGTGGAACGCGCTCGTATATATATATATACAAATGTATATACATCTATATCAATGTAGAAACGCCGTTCAATATATGGAACCGCTGGCACAGTTTTCACAGGCTGGCTTGGTTGGCATCAGTGTGTGGCGCACTTGTCACCGGATCGATGCCTAAGCTGGTGCAGTATTGGCTGTGCGCTTGCAGGCTGGCGCGGCAGAGTCAAGGATGAACTAGTCCCCTCCCCTTCTACCGCCATAACATCCTCCTCCACCTCCTCCAGGATGCCCTCTCCGAGAGTCGAAGGCAGCGGCGGTACACGCCCTTTCCGAGGGCGGCTGTCTCCTACGAAGCATATGTTGCAGCCGATGTCGCGACCAGCTGCTGATTTTATTCAGACATTCGTGCGTACCACGCATGCGAACGAGGGATAATATCATGCCGTCTACAATGTATACATTATACATATACTTATGTATGAGCGCCGTTAAATGCATGGGAAGGCTGGCAGTGTTTTCACCGGTTGGCCTGGTTGGCGCCAATGCGGGGCGTAATTGTCACAGCGGGCCGAGGCTTAAGTGTTTGTGTGCCGGCAGGCCGGCGCGGCAGACTCCAGGATGAGGTGGTCTCCCCCCCCTCCGCATCTACTGTCATACATGCCCCTTCCAGACATGCTCCACCACCTCCAGGCTGCGTTCTCCCAGGGTCAAAGGCAGCGGCGCGAACGACACGCCCTCACCGAGGGCAGCTGTCTTCGAGGAAGCATGTTTTGCAGACGATGTCGCGGCTGGCTGCTGATTGAAACTCAGACACTCGTGCATGTCACGCATGCGAGCGAGGGAAAATATTAAGCAACTGCAGGATGACGCGCGCATACTATGTATGAGCGCTGTTAAGTACATTGGAAGCTGGTTCAGTTTTGACAAGCAGGCTGATTGGCACCAGTGCGTGGCGCAACTGTCATTTCGGATCGATGCTTAGCTCGGGCAAGGCTGTTTGTGTGCCGACAGGCTGGTGCGGCTGAGTCAAGGATGAGGTGGTCTCCTCACCCTCCACCACACTTAATATGCTCCACCACCTCCTCCAAGATGCCCTCTCTCCGAGGGTCGAAGGCAGCGGCGTTGCACGCCCTCGCCGAGGGCCACTCTCTCCTAGGAAGCACGCGTTGCAGCCAGTGTCGCGTCCGGCTGCCGATCTTGATTCAGACACCTCGTGCATGCCGCGCATGCGAGAGAGGGAATATATGAAGAATATCATACAAGACGACATGGTGAACGAGCGAAGCTGACGGGGGGGAGGGGGGGAAAGGGGAGCCCGTTTAAATTGCTTTTTAGAAGATAGTAATGCGCTACAAGTTTGTTGCATGTGTACGCTCGCGGATGGTAGCGTTAATCAATGCCGCCATTGCACTGTGGTGTTTGCAACCCAAGGCAATCGCATCATAATGTGCAGAGCGGAGCTTGGACTCGGTGGCCCTCTGATTTATAAGTAAGTGTTCAAGAGTGGTAACTGCATGGTACCCTACCTCGTCGATGCCCATGTGACCTTGACTGTGCGAAGCAACTTCGCCATCGGATAAATCCTGGTTTAGTAGGCACCGCGCCTGCATTGCATGGTCGAGCGTAGCATTGCAAACACATGCGCCTTCCATGTAGTGGCCGCTGTTGGTGTCGTACGTGATGTGCTCGCGAAAGAACTCTGCAGCATGCGCCCCCTCCCTTTCCACGGCTGAGAAGAGCAAACTGATGTTTGCAAACTGCAGACCGGTGATTTGTCTATCGGCTTCTAATGTGCAATCGACCGAACAATTGTGAGAAGCGCTTCATCACAGGGGACAGGCGGCTGCAATGTGCTGATAGCCTTTACCACTGATGTGAAGCCCTTTGTCCAGTACCGTCCATTGAAATCAACTGCCGAGGCTAACGATTGCCCGACCCGCGCCTCTTGTTATCATCAACATACGTGCTTTTGTTTCCAAAGTGCGTGGCTACGGCGTCGCGGGCGTTCGAGGATGTCGGAGACAGCGCCTCGGGGCTTCCACCTTTTTGTTGTTGTTGAACTTTCACGATCTGGAAAAGCATGGTTGCATGTTCACATGTTGTCATCAAAGTATGTGTCGTTGTTTTCAAGGGTGACGAAGGCGAGCCAGATTGTCGAAGAAGGCAGCCAGATGGCATTGCGACGGCGTTGCCAATTTGCGTTCCGATAGAATTCTGCACGAGAATCCCATTGCCACATTGCACATGGGTTGCCTTCCCCGCATCGCGTCGCGAGGTCGACCAACAAATTGCCGTCGCGAGGTCGCGTGTAGGTTACGTGCGCGGAAGCGTGTCCCGCGTTCGTGGGAGGCCAGGCGCTGGCTTCCGCGCTTAGCCCGCGACGCGCCCGAGTCGCATGGGCGGTCGTGCGCCTGCTCCTCCTCCTCCTCCTCCTCCTCCCCCTCCCCCTCCCCCTCCCCCTCCTCCTCTCCTCCTCCTCCTCCTCCTCCTCCTCCCCGTCCTTCTCCTCTTCCTCCTCCTCCCCCCCCATCCCCCTCCTCTTCCGCGACAATTTTGTCTCGGGCCAAATTCGCCCAGGGCGTCCTGGCTCCCCCGAGCGAATCCTTCTTGGGCCGGCTGACAACGCTCGCATGCGCTCGCGCGAAATTGCCGCCGAGAAGCTCGAGGGGGCCAAGTCGACGTCGCGCGTCTGCGAGGGGGTCGCGCTGCTCAACTTGTCGAGCCACGTCTGCGACAACAAGGCCGCGCAGAAGGCGCTGCCGACGGAGTCGCGCCAGAGGTTCCCCGCGGCCCAGGTCGCGGGAGAGCCGGCGCTGTCTGGCTGCGCGAAGGCGATCGCCGACGCGACGTTCGCTCGGGCACGCAAGCTGGGCCAATGTCCGCGGGGGCCTCGTCGCGGTGGGCGGCCAGCTGGGCGCCCTCATGATGGGCGCGGCGGTAGACCTGGACTTCGGCTCCGAGCTGCCCGACAAGCCGTTCAATGCCTGCCTCCCTGACGGGCGCCTCTCCCACGGAGTGACAGATCGCCCTTCTGGCCCAAGCGGCGGCCCGTGCGCAGCGCGCGCGGCCGCGGCCTGCGCCGCGCGCGCACGGCCTTCATCTACGGCTAGGTGCCCCGTGTCCCATGCCCGTTCGTGACCCAACGCTGCAAGTGCGTCGACGACAGGGCTCCACTGTTGCGCTCCATGGGCGCGGCGAAGACAGGGCTGTCGACTGCTGCTGGCCATCTCGGCCTTGCCACCGACGCGAAGAGCATCCCTTCGCGCCTCGGCTGGGAGCGAGCGCCCCTCGCGATTGACGCCGCCCTCTACGCGCAGCGCCCAGATTTGGCCCACTGCGGGCGCGCGCTGATCGGCAAACGGATGACGCGCAACCAGTAGGCTGACCTGAACTACTTTGGCCTGGCGCCCTTGCGCGTTGACGCGCCGATGCAGAGATGGTAAGAAGGAGCTCAATGCGGCGCGCCCGATGACCGCGAGGCACAGCGAGGCGGCCCCCGGCCAGCGCGGGACGTCGCCGATCTCCCGGGCCCCTGACGCCTCGGCCGACAGCGACGCGCTGTTCGTGGAGGTCTGCAACGGGGGGGCTTGCAAACAGCGCCTTCAGGTGCTCTTCCGCGAGAAGTCCATCGCAGGCATCAGTGGCAAAGGCCAGCGCGCCAACTGGCCCGTCGGCGCCGACGGCGGCGTCGACCTCTTCTACCCGGATCAGACGGGCGAGGCGCGCCTGCTCCGCGCGACCGCCGTGGCCCGCCTCGCCCGCGGACTCGCATGCAGCAGCGATCTCGGGCGCTGCGCGCTGGCGCGCGCCAGCAGCGACCGCCGCGCGCGCGCCGGGAAGGCCCTGCCAGCCATAATCTCGCTGCATCTTGGCACGGGCTTCCGGCGAGTTGTTGGGCCGCCAGACGGAGAAG